GAACATATTATGTAGACCTAGTAATAATGTATAATATCGGGCATATATTGTTTAATTTCGTCTTCGATCAAAGCATTCCCCATAGAAATACGTTATAAATAATAATAATCAACGCAATTGTATGAATACGAAATCAAATTTGTTATTACAAATTGCAATGATCACAAAACGAATGTGGCGGTCGATATCGGGATGATGAAATAAGAGAAATGCTTTTGTTGGACAGAAAATTAGATTAGCTCCGTATATATAATAATCATATAATGCAACATCATCTATCCGTCATTTCCACACAGTGACTCATATAGTATTTACATGAAATACTCCAGTGGCAGTTTTCGACCAGTTTATTATCTACGTAAGATAATAATTTGAGTTGATGACTTAATGTGAAGCGCATACAATCTTTCTAGCATTAGGCCTATGCTATACAAACGTATTATTATTATTATTATTATTATTATTATTATTATTATTATTATTATTATTATTATTATTATTATTATTATTATTATTATTATTATTATTATTATTATTATTATTATTATTATTATTATTATTATACTCATGCTTATTCTAGAAATGTTAGGAGCCTATTCCTTTACTTTATTAAAAATGTAGAAAGACAGGTAGGTACAACAAACACACACTTAGAAGATAGTATCCTACAGTCTCCATATCACCGAGGATCTATAGATTTATCCGTTTCCCGAATCTAGAGCAGTCAATATGTGTTTTATATACCTCATAAATAAATTCAACTAGGCTTTAAAAACCAATGAAAAGAGTCCCCACAAAGGCCTAGGCGGTAAGCCTTCTTCCTAGGCCTAAGCGGTCAAAGGGCCAATCTCTCTCGTTGTAGAGGTTGCAGTCCCTTTTACCCCCGGGCGCGTCATAAATTACCGACGTTTTAAGTGGGGCCTAGAGATTACATCGCGACAGGGAAAACATTTCTATCATTTATGAATTATCATTCAAACTACGTCATATGAGTGGAGGTTGAAGTTATTACTCTGTTTTTTAACCAATCAGATACCTGAAATCTATGCATGCGGTATATAATAATTGCTATGTTATGCAATGATTCAGTTAACGACGATAATAACTTCTGTTGATTATGGTGATATGTTAATGAAGATTAATTGATTAAAATGATGGTGACGATTTAAAAAATACTCACCAAAAATCCACACCAAAATCATAACTTCCACGTCTGTTGGAGCAGGCCCTCTAGTGTTCGTTCTTTTCTCTGCATACGCCCCACCAACATCAAGAGAAGCAAGGATCAGCAAGACGAGAAAAAGAAGATACGCTGAGCTATGACAGAGGAACTTCAAGAATGGAAGACGAAGAAGCTGTCCTATCTTGTGACACGGAAATAAAAGGTACATTATACATAACATAGGATACGAGAGTCCGATAAAACAACTAATCATTATTTTAAGTGCCCAATGTTGACGTCTCCACCCAGGCAACCCTCTGTACCACACCTCGGCTAGTAATTGCTGGCAACTTGGATGAGCCGTAAACTGGAAAAAAAAAGAAAAAAGAAGACAGAAAATTAGACTTTCATCTTTTAAAACTCCAATAACAAGTGTAAACATTTGCGGACACGAGGGTCTGGCATATTCGACGGAGGGGTCTGAGCCAAGGGAACGATGAAGCCTCGGTCGACGGCCCGGAATTAAAAGTTCCATGTAGGGTTCACGGGGAAAGTTTTTATGGCTTATTATGGTCCAAAGTGGCGCTATTTGACCACAATATTAGGCAAATTATATATAGGCAAATTATTATTTTATTAATGTTTATCGGACGACCTAGTCGACCGATCAAACATTTAAAGAAAATGAGGGGATGGATATTAAGTTAGAAATTGACAATGATACTTAATATAATCATGGACTTAGATATAATAGTTCGGTTTATATAGCGCGCGCTTTACACTAGAATCCGTGGACTAGCTCGTACAGTAAAGAAAAAGTGAGGAGGATTATATATTTAAATATTTATTTATCTCGATATATTTTAGTTTAGATTAAGATTATTTTGTTAATTCTCTTGATGGGCTATGCGTCGTATGTAAATTTTAAATGAAGCCGGGCACTCACTGCCTACGGTCGTACGGCTCAGTTAGTGAACGCTCTGTCATTTTGGACGTGTGTCCTGATAAACTTAAGTGATTTAATTTGATTTCAGGAAAGGGTAAAGAAGGACAGGAAATGGATATAAAATGGTAGGAATATATATATTAATGGAAGCTAGCTACGTTAAACGAGAAAATGAGAAGACTTGATGGATATTAAGTTAAGGCAGGAATATGAAGGGAGGGAATGTTTAAGACAGGGATAATGATGATAGGAAATACGAAAACTGGAGATGATGAAGAGAGGGATATAAAGCCTAGATGACAGGGAAGGATTTGTTAATGAGGACATGGATACGAATGATGGCTATGTAAGGAAGGAGAAGTAACAGTGGAAGAAATTGAGAGATCAAAGAGATGGATATGAATTTTGTGAATACTGAAAAATGGAAGGTATTGATATGAAGAGAGAAATGTTAAAAAGTAAGGGAGGGGGTTGAAAGGATGGGAAATATACGGGATAGGTAAGGAGTGAAAAAGATAAAAGAAAGCAAATTGATGGAGAAATAATTAAGGAAATTGGTGGATAAAGGATGGGATATTTACAGAAGAGTTAAGAGGTAAAGTATTGTATCTTAACGGAAAGGAAAACTGAATTAAATGGAATGAGGAGAAATATGCATATGAAGTTGAGATGATAGAAAAGCGAATTGAGAATAGATATGAAGATAGGAAAAGATAACGGAAAATAATAAATAATAAAGGCTATTGATAGAAGAGATAGATACACCATTATGATTGGACGAATCTAGAAATAGGCCCAAGGTAAAGTGTCGTAAGTATATATTCCTTATCTTTTGTCTGTTTTTTCATAGTTTGCTTATTATCATAGCGATTTTTTGTACAGTTCTTTAAAAGCAACTTTTTTTTTATCTTCATTAGTATTACATTATGAATAATGTTTTAAATGTAATTTCTCAGAAACACCATAACTAAGTCCATATGGTGCAAATGGTGTTTGTTTATTCATATCAATAATGTGTTGAAAGCAAGAGACAACTAATAATCCAGATATAGATGAATGGGACAGAAGTCACTAAATGCCACGTTATGTGATTAGCTGGACCAATTTTATATACACCAAATGATAATAATATTAGGCCTACTGTACTGTTGATCGTCGCTTTCGGCACAAAATGTTCAGATCATGGCGCCACAATTCCGGGGTATAGTTATGGTTTAGATTCATAGTAATACACAAAGGTTATCCACCGTGTTTTAGACTTTATGTTACATAATTTGTAACATTTTTCTCATCAATCATGCATTAATATTATTATTATTATTATTATTATTATTATTATTATTATTATTATTATTATGTAAATACTGTTTATTTTATAATTAATCTATTATAGTGGATTTTATTTTGTAGATAACAATTTTATCAGAGAGAAGAACTTTTTTCCATAATCATCACCATCACCAACATAAATAATGACTAGTTAAAAAAGAACTTGACTCCTTAACCAACACAAAAACCAAAACCTAATAGTGAGGCAGATGACAATAAATTAGTTCACTTCGACCTTGCACTTTTGATGAACTATTTACCGTTGAACGAGAAAGACGTAAAATTAACTGAAATTATGTGGCTATTGCGAAACACAACATTACGATTTTTTTATATATATATTGACATTACTCCATTGGTCTCTTAAAAAAGTAATCGAAAATATCGAACAAGCTAAGACCACTAAATAGGAAAAACGCTAAGCTTTGAAACAATCATAAAATCAATAAAAGTAATATAAAAACAGAATCAGTGAATGCGTATCAAGGAGCGCCAACAGTATAATTTAGTGTAAATGTACCGTACAGAGCTTAATTAGGTATATATA